CATAGCTCACAGCAACCTCAAACTCCTGGGCTCAAGCGATCCTTCTGCCTCAGCCTCCCAAGTAGCTGGGACTACAGGCGTGCGCCACCATGCCCAGCTAATTTTTTCTGTATATTTTTAGTTGTCCGGCTAATTTCTTTCTATTTTTAGTAGAGACGGGGTCTTGCTCTTGCTCAGGCTGGTCTCAAACTCCTGACCTTGAGTGATCTACCCGCCTTGGCCTCCCAGAGTGCTAGGATTACAGGTGTGAGCCACTGCGCCCGACCGAGAACCCAATTTTTGACCACCCTATTATACTTCTTTTCATTAACATTATATGGGTTTTTAGCTTGTGTAGTTGCTTTGAGTGATGATGAATTTTCCTCCTAAAACATTTTCAAGAATCTGTATGGACGTTTTATGGTTTTGTGGAACATAGGGACATTCTTCATCCTCATCCTTTGATACAGGGTTTGCAAAATGTGTGGGATCCTTCTGATCATCAAAGAGGAAAATTTTACTAATGCCTTGCTTGAGACCAGAGATGCTGATTCTCCTTTTCCATGCCCTTTTCTTACTGGGTAGTAATTGAAAGTTAGAACATAGGGTTTAAAAGTCAAAGTTAAGAGTTTTGCCTCCATGTGGACAAGAAAATTCTACTTATTCCATGACCACAGTGTACAGCCCTAAACCCAGCCAGCCTTCTACCAAGTACAAACAATATGTGCACAGCAGTCATCCTTGTTGACAGAAGCGCTCCCAGCCCACACTGATGTACAGACCCATAAATAGCACCATCACCATAAATGAAAGCAGTATGATATGGTTCAGGAATGCAAATAGATTTTAGCTCAGCTGCCAATGCCAAATCATGAGTGGTGGCTGCCAGGAGGACCATTGTGTTGAGAAGGATTGGGCATCCACATCCAAGCTTTTCAGAAAGAGTTCTGTAATTGATTGGTCTCATCTGCCATGGGCTTGGGATATGGCACAGTGGTAAGTGTGCTCTGTACTTGCCATCCTTGGTACAGTCTATTGATATGAACAAGCTAAGACATCTTAGCCTTGGGCAGCTTGAAGCCTATGCATTTTAATTTGCAGTTCAATCTTTTGATTCCTCCTTCTTCCATCTCTGTTTTACCACAGGAGAAATGGCCAAGCGCACCTTCTCTACCTTGGAGATGTTCCTGATTTTCCTTCTTGTAATGATGACTGCCATCACAGTGGCTCTTCTCAGCCTCTTGTTTATCACCAGTGGGACCATTGAAAACCATAAAGGCAAGTGCCATAGGCTCTCTTGGATGCTATTTTTAGGCCTGTAGGAAATTTCTTGATTACTGGGGACACCAACGTGACAAACAGTGTCTTCTGATAGTTCAATGTGCACTTAAGCAGCCTGGGATGGCCATCTCCCCTTACATTAATTGCCCTTTCTGCAATGATAGCAGTTTTTATCAAGTTTACCTTTGTTCCCAAATAGCCAGTGTACAGGCATTCTAACATGGACATGTTTGCCATTAGCTTTTCCACTGATCTAAGTACAGCCCAGGATTCTTCAAGGCCCAGTGATGTCAGCCTCCAGCCTATCATCTTTCTTTTTCCCTCCTTGTTGGCATCATCTTTTCCTGGGGGCAAAAGAAGAATGAAAAACTTACTGAATGTCAATTAATTAGTACGTGAAAAGCTTTAGAGAAAGGGGTCTCCAACTCAAATCCTTACAAGGGCCAATCAAATTCTGTTAATGAGGCGGAGTGAGGAGGCAACCAGGGTGGAGGCAAGTGTGCTTCTGGGGAAGGGGGTCCACAGCCCCCCGGAGTGCCAGCTGCTTGCTGTCATGATGTCACGTGGTCTCAGATCTCCGGAGGTCTCAAGAGAAGCTGGAAATTGGGATTTTTAGACATCTCCTGATTTTTAAAAATGTTGGCAACAAATTTAGTTTTTGAAAACTCCGTAGGCTGTTTCCAGGCAATATTGGCAATGGGTCTTTGTCGGAGCCTCTGCTTCAGCCAGCATTAGGTTACATACCTGGAAAATGAATGGAGAAAACAGATGGAGATTGAACGCTTTGATCAAAGTAAAGGGAGAGCTGGCCTCAGGCCAAATGGAGAAGAAGTTGGCATTTCCCACCTCGGTTTTCCCTTTGGTGGCCTCGTCTCTTTTCCAGTGTACCCTCTACCATGTTCCCATGCTTCGAGTTCCCAGCAAACACAGAGGAACAGAGATCCTCTGATCCTACAGTGGGCAGAGCAGGGGCTTAGACTGATAGAAGTGAAAGAATCCATAGAATTTATTTAGTTTTAGCTCTTAAAATTAGAGACTCGGGAGGTTGAGATTCAGGGAGGTTATTAATACTGCTAGTAACTATTCTCATAGCAGTAGTTATTTTTATTGCATGGTTTCTACGTGAAGCCCTATAGTAAGGCTTTTACATAATTTTCTCATCTAATTCTCACAAAAATTCTATAAGGGTAGGTGCTAGTCCTACCTTTTACTTTTGTGCCAGTTTTCATATAGGGAAACCCCGACTCTGAGATTGCAAATAACTTGCCTGTGGCTATGTGGCCAGGTTTGGCTTTCGTTGGCATGACATTCCTAGACTGGTGACAATGAGGTGACAGCAACGGTGCCTGCTTCCCTCCTGGCAATATCTGATGCCTTGTGGAAAATGTGGGCTTGGGCATGAGAAGACATGGATTCTAACTCCACCTAGAATTTGGTTGAAAGATCATTGGATTCTGAGTTTGAGCTGAGCACTTATTACATTCCATGGAACAAAAGAAGTATTGTTGCATTGTCTTATTTTTATAGGGACTCTATGAGATAGGTACTAAAATTATCATCGTTGCATTCCTATCTATGTATGAAAAAACTGAAGCTAAGTATTAGGGGAGGATTTCGCCAAGGTCATCCAATAAGTGGCAGAAATGAGATTGGAACTCTGGAGTCAGACTTGAGAACTTAATTTTTTTTTTTTTTTGAGACAGAGTCTCGCTCTGTTTCCCAGGCTAGAGTGCCATGGGGTCATCATAGCTCACAGCAACCTCAAACTCCTGGGCTCAAGCGATCCTTCTGCCTCAGGATCATATTGTTTTGTAATATTTGGTCATTTTTTCATG